GTGGGCTCACACCTACCTGGCCCAATCCTGGCTGAGGAGCCATGTTCAAGGGCTGACCATGCTGGGCCACAGACATCATGGCTGGTCTTGGCATCCCAGACTGTAGCTGCTGGGGCTGAGGCATTCCGCCCTGGGCCCAGGGTGGCTGCTGTTGGATTCCTGTGGGCCCCATTCCTGACTCCAAATGCCCACCAGGACCTCTGGCCATGGGGGGTGGGTTCATACCCATGGGGGCCACGGGAGTCATCTGGGGCATCGGGTGCTGGGGCATCGGCCTTTGAAAAATTTGTACGTGGGCCATCTGACGCTGCGTCTCAGCTGCCCTCTGAATCTGCATGGCCATCTCCACTGCGGCAGGTGGGGGTCCAGGGAGGGGGGGCTGAGCCGTCTGAGGAGGGGTCGGAGGGGTCACCTGGCCAGGCGCCTTGCCTTGAGACACAGGACCAGCAGATTGAGTTCGAGGCAAGTAGGGAGGCATGCTGTTGGGAGGAGTGGGCTGTGGCTGAGATGGTGGCTGGGGCTGTGGGGTCTGCGGGGTGGTTGGCTGCTGGCCAGTCGGGGTGGTTGGTGTGGCAGGCGTTGGGGATGGCAAACCCTGCTGCTGGCCCCCTACACCGGTCCGCTGCATGCTGGCCATCCTCCTGCGAAGCATCTGGGCCTGCTGGAGACGGTGCTGCAGCTGCTGCTGTCGGAGTTTCTGCTTGATGTTCAGGCAGAAGGGCACAGGGCACTTGTTCTCCTGGCAGTGCTTGGCGTGGTAGCAGCAGAGGGCGATGAGCTGCTTGCAGATGGGGCACCCACCATTGGTTTTCCGCTTGCAACCCTTGGTGTGCTGCACAACACGCTTCATCTTCTGGCAAGAGGGCAGGGAGCAGTTGGCGTTGCGGCACTGGCAGGCGTGGACCAGAGACTGGATGCAGCGCTGGATGCTCAAGCGGCGAGAGTCTCCAGGGCTCTGAGTGGCTGCAGCCTGCTGATTGTTGCTCTCGTCATCTAAGCCAAGGCCAAGTTTCTCCATCTTGTGATTGTGGTTCTTAGTGTTATAGCAGGTGATACACAAGTCATAGTCCTAAAAGAATACAGGACGAGTCAAGTCAAGTCAACCACAAGCATTTCAGATGTTCTGGGCTAAAGGGTCTTTTTCCAACTCCACTACTCTAAGGTGAGTGGACCCTCTCTGCCCCCTGCTTCGCCCTCTCCTACTCATCACCTCCCCGAGTCCCACCTGGTGCTTGCACCACCCCGCTGCCAGTGCCTACCTCACAGACAGTGCAGTGCCAGCGCGTCTCCACGTGGTGCTTGCACTCGTTGCAGGTGTAGACGAAGCGGTCCTGGCTCTGGGTGTGCAGCTCCACCAGCATGCACATGGTGGACCACTGGGCTCGCCGCAGGGATGAGAACTCCAGGTGCTTGTCCCTCGCGAGGGTGAGGAAAGCATCCCGACCATCCATCAGGTCACAGGGGATGAGGGGGTCAGGGTCCACGATGGGCGGGAGGGAGTTAGCAGCAGGGCCAGCGATGAGACGGATCACAAAGAAGACCTGCAAAACAGACCCTGTTGTCCTGACTCGGCTCTGGAGCATCTCAGCTGACGCCACAGGGGACAAGTGAGCAGGCTGGCCCAACCGAGACGGGACACGATCACAACCACACACAGTAACTGACAGACCCATCTCTGCCGAATCACGCATCCCAAACTGTTTTTTAAATGGACCACGGCAGA